AAAAAAAAGCCTTTTTTTTTTTTTTTTTTTTTTAAGAACCTTGTGTTAAACACAAGCTAGCTTAACTAAAAAGAATCCCGCTGTATGCAATTGTTTTAATCCAGTCTGAACACTCGAACGCACTCACCGGAACTGTTAACTGTCTATTTTTTTTACTGAGTTAAAAAGGTTATTAAAACTGAGCATTAATTTAAAACCAAAGATCAAACTGAAAACTTGTTTCAGAAATCTCTTCTCCTTAGCACCAATCTCAATCATGCCAACATTTTGGTCAATAACTAAACTAATACATTCCAACATTTTGTCGAGTTGAAGTCTGTAAGAAAAGGGGGGTTTTGTTTGTTTTCTTTTTACAGAGAAAACCAAACAGAAAATTAGAAAGTGAAATTATGCATAAGAGTAATTTCAAATGTAGCTATCAATAGATCTGATGCATTTTCCAAATGGCATTTGCTGACCCTAAAGTACAAGGCTATATAAAACTGTGAATATAAAGTTTTATCATTGTAAACCTCATGGGAAAAGCTAGAGTTTATACAACAGCTCACACGCAACATAATTCTACCCTTAAAAGTGAATAAAATTATCATTATGGAGATTCAGCGTTTCTGTTACCGAATCCCAGATAAAATATACACTCAGTTTACAAGACACCTTTCTCTTATCAACTCTGCAAAGACTAACTTCAACATCTGAAAGACAAGATGGGCTCTTTTCTTATGTGTTAGCACCAACAAGATCTGGCAAGTCAGTTTACATCCTGAGTGATACCTGTTTAGTTTCACAAGGCCAAAATGGCCACTGTATTTGAATGCACTTTTTTTATTAAAGCAAGCAGCTATCAACACTGGAGTTTAATGCAGAAGTGACTGAAAAGCCACAAGGGATCTGATGAGTCAGAAAGAGCCACCTAAACTTTAATGCAATACTAAAAGAAAAAGTAAAATAAGGAAAGAAAACCTATTTCTAAGGTGTTTCTTGATCCACAAAAGATGCATCTGCCAGACGGCTCTATTACAGGAAAAGTAAAATCAAGTATCACATCAGTTTGTAAAGAGGAAATTAGACACAAATTCACTGTTATAGAAGGTACGCTGCTCTCAGTTTTAAAGTAGCAATGAAATGAAATGAGATTATAATGAAGTAAGTGTATTAACATTTGTTAAAGTGAAAAACTTACACAAGAATTTTTGAATTAGACATTCAAATGCTATAAAAAATGAAACACCAGATGTTTCCATTACAGAGGTAATGGATTGAGATTGAGCAGTGTATAAACATAAATTTCCAAGTTTAGTTATGCTAGAGATGTAACCCTGTAGTAAATGAAAGGGCACAGTAGCGTTCTTTCAGGAAACAGCTGCATAAGTCAGTGGAAAAATGTATAATCATGGTGCATGCACCAGAACACGCAAATTTTACAGTCACAGAAAGTGCTAGTACAACAAAAAATAATAATAAACCCCTCAATTCTAGTGTTGGGATTCAGAATTGCTTATGCTTGAAGTTGAATGTCATTTTAATACAAAAACTTAAGCAATGGCAAAAACATGCATTTCTTTTCAATCTATCTTATTGTCCTGAAACTTCATTATAATTTCTTACAATTAGAACAGCCTGATAAACAGCCCTACTAGATGTGCATGGTTTGTTGTGACTGATATCTTTCAAGGGACCCTTCCACCACAAGGTAAGATCTACAAATAAGCATACCTTTTATTCTCAGAATCCTGAGCAAAATTAATTCCTCGTTCCACCATAAAAGTGTGCTGTAGGAGATGAGTAAGAAGCTTTACGAGAGCGAGAGAGATCTAGATCATCTTCCATCTTTATCAAGAATCATCAGAATTTCAAACATGAAGTCTCTATTCTGTTTCAGCCAGTTCAGGAGTGAACAAACAGAGGAAATGATTCCTTCACTTTTCTTCAGCCCATCCATTCACCTACCTCCTGCCATACTTTAGTATTTGCTGCCTTGGAAGCTCCAGACTTGCCACAGAAACCAAGGTAACTACTACTGTTCTAGCAGGAGAAACAGAAGGCGTACATACCTTCTCTACTGTTCTGCATCAACTGTTCAAGAGAAAATGGGATATCCAGCTCTTACCAGTCAAAAGACTTAAAAATGGAACACCTCTCGCCTTTTCCTTCTCCAGTACTTCCAGAAAAAGAGGAGGGGATTGAAAATGTCCTTAATACTTCCTCTTGAGAAGAATGCTGTTACAGTTGTTGGGCCAAGGCAAATGTCATGTTAAGACTTAGAACCTTGCACCACGTTTCATAGTTAGTGGGGTCAGAAGGGACCTGAGCAGATCATCAAGTCCAACCTCCTGCCATGGCAGGAAAGAATGCTGGGGTCAAACGACCCCGGCTAGGTGTCTATCGAGACTCCTTTTGAAGACAATTTGGGTGTCTTGTATAAAAAACGACAACGGTATCCTGTCAAACTATCAAGTCAACAGCCTGGGCTTTGCAACAATATTATTTAAAGGTGACCTGCAAAGAAAAAAAAGTTTTGATCACTGACCTTTTCCCCCCCAAAAACTCACTCTCTCTCAGATTAGTTGTTCAGGTCTTGACTAATTAAGAAAATACTGTGGATAACTGGACAACAAGTAGTACAACATATAATACACCAAGCAAACGAAGCCCAACTGAAGGAAAGTGATTTTATTCAGATTCTTTAAAACTGTTTTGTTTATAGCAAAAACAAACTATCTGGGAACAGATTCCTCATTGTAAGGCTTTACTAAGCTCTGATTTGAAGGGCTGAATATATGTAAACTCCCAGTATACAAACCAGAAAGGATCCCAGCAAACTCAGAGAAGGCATTCCTGATATTTTAAGGGAAGTACAAGCAGGATTTTAGTTATCCTTACTAACTTTGAATAAAATGACACCTACAAGTTTTAAATAAGCTAGAAGTCTGACTGCTAGGAACTTCAGACACGCATATTAAGGAGACAGCCTCTTCCCTGCACAGTTAATAATACAAGCCTCTGTACTTCAGAAAGCTACAAAACCTTATTTTTCCCCTTTGCAGGTTATCTTTAAAGTTTCAGTCTGACCTTTGGAATTCTCTCCTGTCCCCACCAACCCTATGTAATCAGAAACATTCCTCTCTCGCTCCTCCATTTCCCTCATATTTCCTTATAAAATATAATTATAATCATTTCACTTCAGGGTGTGTGCGCATGTGAATATATATTACGAACATATTTGTCACATGGCATACTTTTTAATTATAACAAATGTGTATGTGGTTTGTAAGACCAAAAGAGCCGATCAATGGCAAAATATTTCAATGTGTACATGGTACTAATTTTATGAAAGAATGTACCGTAAGTAAATATTCCAGGTCAGTGTATTAAATGATACAACCCTTAAAGTTACATTCCTGCATTCCCATCACCTCTTATGGTCTACTGAAATGCTTCATTTACCTAGAGACCCTATGGTCTCCAATGATCTTCAGAAGTTAAAACGTCTTTCCTGGTAATATCCGAAACAACTGTCCAAAGTAAATGGACTACTGACAAATCTAGGACAGTT